ATTCTTAAGATAAACTGATAACCACATTTCAGAGACATAATATATACATTAAAATTTACGCTTATAACTTACTTATGTAAGCAAAGATCTTTATTTTTGGCTTGTTTTTTGTTACAGACATAACAATACCTCACCATTTTGCACTGATTTTTTCGTGTAGTACGTAATTTTCGTGCTACACAAATAGATTCAAAACCAACCCTGGCTAGTACGGTGCCGACCTGAAGCTCAATGTTACGGTGCAGACAATATAGTAGCCTCTCTCTCCAGCTTCTTTGTGCGCATGCGATGAACATTCAAGCACGCTTGCGCATTTCTCTTTCTCGCGTTCTTTTTCTCACTTTCTAATGCTTTGTCTCGCTCGCACTCACTTGGTAGATGCGCCTGCGCATAATGACGCTCGACCATCTATGCCCATATTTGGACTTCGTGCGTCTCCCTTTCTCGGGCCTCGTGCCTCTCATTGCAAAGATACTCGACTAGCCACGGCTGTTCAAAACAATATCTTAGAAGACTTTCGAGGTTATACTTCACGTTACATGTGCTATAGATTTTCAGTACTGGCAGTGAATATCGGAACGCAGCCAATATAAGCATTATAGATACATGTCACGCATGCGCTTTCGAACAAACTGAACAGTGATAAAGAGTAATAAAGAGAGTAGAGCATTGTCTGCACCGTAGTGTTGGAACCGCGCTGAGAGCTTAACTTGCCATATAGAAGTATTACATATATGTAGAAAACTAAGCGATGTATTATACTGTACAATACCAAGTATAATACAATGTAAAATACCTCACGTATAATACGTGCCCAACCCTGGTTGAAACAGCGCTTGAGCGCTGGTGCTAAAGCGCCAGTGTCTGCATGAGGGCGATGTCCCATTGAGCGGAAATATATAGCGGAACGGAATATGCGGAACTAGCTCGACCAATCATAGCCATTCCGTTTTCTTTCCTTCGCTTTTTCTGTGGTTACGATTGGTCGAGCTGGTTCCGCACATTCCGTTCCGCTATAGATTTCCGCTCAATGGGACATCGCCCTGAGGATCCAGGCTTACTCTGGCTGCTTTCCTTTTAGGAGCAGAGAGAAGCCTGAGAGCGGCCACGGCCATAAGAGTTTCTGTTATAGCTTTTCGTGGACATGGTTCTATTCCGTGCTAAGTTTGTGGACATGGTTCTATTCCGTGCTATGAGAACACCGACGTGGTAGGGATACGCACACAAGCGAGACCGTTGTCCGTGTGCGCTCGTTGAAGTGTGCAGACATATTATGTTGATGTATGACGACGGTTCTCGCTTGTGTGCGTATCCCCACCACGTCGGTGTTTTCATAGCACGAAATAGAACCATGTCCACAAACTTAGCACGGAATAGAACCATGTCCACGAAAAGCTATGACAGAAACTCTTATGGCCGTGGCCGCC